GTACAGGCTGGCCGAGACTTGCAGAAGTAAGAACCTGGTTCTGTATTGCAAAAAGAAACAGCAGTTAAATCTACGTAGATATGAGAGAACCTTTTAGGAAGATCTTCAGCAGTAAGCTATAAAAGTATATTATCCCTCATTAATATTTTACCTCTGAGCATCGTATCTTAATCACATCTACCAATACCAAATTATTCAGTATATTTGATTGGATGGAGTGAAAACCTACATGGACATGCATGACATGAAAAAGTGCTCTGGGGGCTCTAGTTCCAACATCTGCTCTCCTAAGAACTATGGGAAGGAGTCTTTTTCACACAATCTACCTTGACAATCTTTCTAAAGAAAAATGATTCTGATACAGATGGAGATTAAGTTTTATGTAACTAACGTTCATCGTCAGTAAAAAAAAAAAAAAAAAGGACAAAGTGATAATAGCCAGTTAGAAGTGCTTAAGATCTTTGCAATGAAGAGAGAGCTCTTCTTATTAAATTAGATGCTCTCCTTCCTAAATCTGAAAATATCTACCTTGGAATTGGAAGTTCATCTCTCTCCCTCTCATTAACTTGGAAAATGCTTCAAACATAACATTAATGATCATTATCTCAAGTCAGTGGTGAATTAATGTGGCATCATCATCATCATGAACAATGCATTTGAGAATAAGGCAGCTTTTCTTAGTCTTCACATTTTCTTTGAGTACCCCTATGATACCCAGTCAGGACGGCTACTGCTCTAATGATCATTATCTCAAGTCAGTGGTGAATTAATGTGGCATCATCATCATCATGAACAATGCATTTGAGAATAAGGCAGCTTTTCTTAGTCTTCACATTTTCTTTGAGTACCCCTATGATACCCAGTCAGGACGGCTACTGCTCAGGAATAATGGAAATGATGAGGTTGAAGGCTATAAATCCTTGAACTCAGCTTTCAAAATGTTTGTTTCATAGGTTAAATTGCTCCATACAGGTACAGGTTAGCTCACACAGCCAAACTGGAACTGAATCTGCTATGTTTTTCCAATAATTCTCCATATCTAAAAAAGATCCAGGCTGCTTCCATATAGAGGTCTCCTAGTGCTACCATACCACATTTCAGAACCTGTGATGGAAAACACAGGATAATTTGATATGGAATTATAATCCCATTAAATTATGGTAATGGTGTGGAGTGAACGTACAATATGTGCCTTTTTATAAAGCACTCCCAACTTTAGAGGGTTCACCATCTGTTTTTCTTCTCCTCCTGTCTCCTTTCTCAAACTTTCAAAGTTGCCAGAGAAAAGGAAAAGTACAAATAAATGGGCTTGTAAAAATGTGGACTCTCCTTAAATTTTTAGTTCTCTGTCATGATGGTTTCAAGAAATGCTGCACCAATTCATTGGTAAAGGAGACTCTGATTTGAACAGAGTTTTCACTGCCTTTTAATCAATGTGGTGGGAGGAATTCAAACAATATATTCTAGTATTTGTTTTAGCAAGAACACAGTGTAAACTATTTCTACTTTCACTTTTTT